CTCACCCCCTTTTCTCCCTCCCTCTCTCCCCTTCTCTCTACCCCCCTCCTTTCCTCCCTCTCTCTCTACTCCCACCCCCACCATGGTTTTTTCCTAAATGGAATTTTGGTCTGTTCTTAGGAGGGCCTATACTTGGAAAAGGACACCATGTTCGGCAAATGGTCAGTGAAGGAGGGAAGCAGCCTCAGTGAGTGATTGTAACAGTGGGCTTTAGAGTGGCAGAGATGATGACGGTGGCACAGGATAGGTAGGGTAAGGTTCTGATCTATCCTTCGTAGGGTCACTAGGAGTTGTAGTTGACTCGATGGCATCTGACAACAACAGCAGCAGCAACGTTGAAGTCAATGGATAGAAACTCATTGGCAATGAACCTCTTCCAACTCAGTGACACTTCAACTGTCTGGTTTTGGCAGCTGTCAGTTTTATGGGAGGAGACTCTTGAGGATTCACACCAGTGACCTCTCAGTTAGCAGGGCAATGTGTAATATGTCATATGCTCACAAAATTACGTTGGCTGACTGCTTATTGAAGCTTCTAGAAATAGCCAATCATTAGGAATAATGCTTCGTCCAAGACTTTCAATGTTATCCCTCAAGATGCTGCTTTTGAACTGTAAACCCTAAGCCTGTGTGCCAAAGGAATTGTCCCTATGCGTTTTATCACCTCCTTTCAGGTATAGTGTGGATTAAGAACCCTAAAACAAAACTGAGTACCTCAAGAGAAATCAAACCCACTGCTATCAAGTGGCTTCTGACTCTCAGTGACCCTGTAGGGCAGCGCAGACCTGGCCTATCGGAATTGCAAAGCCATAAATCTTTACAGAAGCAGATTTCTACATCTTTGTCCCATAAGGACAGCTGGTGGGTTTGAACCACTGACTAATAGGCTTGCAATCAAGTGCTTGATCAATGAGCCACAGGGATCCTTACATACCAAAGTAGAAGTCTTTTTCAACATGGTGTGAAAGTGCAGTTCTGTTTGCTGTGTTTGTTTTGGGAAATGTGTCCCCCTACTTTTCTGTGATGGATTACTCTTGTGTTCAAGCGCATCCAGTTTTAGCAGAGCACACTGCACCATATTTCTCTCCTAACTCTGTCAAATAACTCCTGTTATTTCAGAGCAGTTGCTTTATTCCCCTCTGGAACTATTTAGACTCCAAATTTTCTGCTCCGTGTGCCACCCATTCACCTGCACAGAGACAGGCGTAAGCCTGAAATCTACAGTTCATTCCATTTTGCTCTTTGCCCACCTTTTCATGTTTTACACGTGTAGATGACACTATGAATGGACAAGTGAGTTTAGAAATTCTCACTTGTTAGTTACAGTGTCGTGGGATATAAGGTAAAAAACGTATAGTGATGAAAGAGTAAAAAGGAGAGGGAATAAAACCCATTCATATCTGAAACCAAACTGATTGCCATTGACAGTTCTGACTCCCAGTGACTCTGTAGGACACAGTAGAACTGCCCCATAGGATTTCCAAGAATTTACTCTTTATGGAAGCTGACAGCTAGCTAGCTCACTGTCCCACAGAGTGGCTGAAGGGTTTGAACTGACTACTTTCTTGTTAGAAGCACAATGCTTAACTCACTATGCCACCAGAGCTCTTCCAAACTACTCACAGCTTCCTTGACTTCATAAGGACACACGTAGGGGATTCTGGTAACCATTCCTCTCTTCCCATAACAAACATAGGTACTGTCTGTCTGTTTTGTTTTTTTTTTAATTCATTGTTGTATACTTTCTTCCCCCTCCCTCTCCTCTCCCTCCTCCAGCCCACCCCACAATGCACCCCTTGTTCAAGATTGTTGTCATACATATAATGTCCAATCATAGATTCCTTTTAGACAGTTCTTTCCCTCATCTGTTCTCATGCACTGTTCATTATCTATCCACTCTTTCTTCATTCTCTCCCCAACTCCCCTGCCACATCTGTCCTATTTTATAACAGCAGTGTTATATGGTATTTATCCTCATATGACTGAGATAATCTCACTCAGCGTAATGTCCTCCAGGCTCCCCCATGTTGTGTCATGTTTTATGAATTCATTGTTTTTCAGTGCTGCCTTATACTCCATTGTGTGAATGTATCATAGCTTTTCCTATCCCTTCGTTTGTTGATGGGCTTTTGGGTTGCTTCCATCTCTTTGCTCTCGTGAATAACGCAGCCATGAATATGGCTGTGCATAGGTGCTGTGTTTCTAAATGCTCATATCTTCACTTGAAAACTTGACGTCTGAGGAGCTGAGATACACGGAAGACAGAACGGAAGTTCTAGTGTCTCTACTGTCCTCTCCTCTGCCTTTGCGTCCTCATGCCATCCTTCCTGCTTGCATTATTTTTCCACTCTTTATTCTTTTTTTTTCCTACCTAACTTCTCAAATCAGCCACCCATATTTTGTCCCTTTCTGCTACTTTAAACATGCTGCCAGCTTCCGTAAAGGGCAGTCACAGCTTATCTTTAGAGTATTTTTAAGCAAAATACACAGAGACACACACTCACAGTCACACACTCCCCCCCTTTATTTCTGCAAGGTGACTGGGCTCTGATTCATGGCAACCCCAGGTGTGTTAGTGTGTGTGAAATATGTGTGAACTGTGTTAAGAGCGCGTTATAGGGCTTTATCAAGGCTTGATGGATAATATTTTCTGAAGCAGATTGCCAGGCCTTTCTTTAAAGGCACCTCTGGGTGGACTGACACTTCCTTTAGCAGCCCAGGTGCCTTAACTCTGCACCACTCAGGCATGCCTGATCAAACCACAACTCAAACTTGCTGCTGTCAGTTCCGTTCTGACTTGGGGCAACCCTGTGTATTACAGAGCAGAACTGCTCAGCTGTCATCTTTATGGAAGCATATGACCAGGCTTGTCTTCTGCGGTACCGCTGGACGAGCTCACACAACCAAACTCTAGGTTATTAGCTGAGGGCAAACAGCTAGTGCCACCAAAGGACCTTTGCAGGCACTTCTAAAACACAACCGAAACCCAGATCGACTGCCATTGCATCAGTTCCACCTCACAACCAAAAGATTGGTGGTTCAAACCTACCAAGCACCCCGGAAAGGAGAGAAGGAGGCAGGCTGCCTCCATGGGCTTAAAAACCTGGTGGGCATGTCTCCTCTGCCCGGGAGGGCTTCTGTGCCTCACTGAAGCACTGCTGCTTCAGATTTGAGGGCAACTAATATGTGGAAACACACCGCTTTAGTCTGTGGCATCAAAGGCAAAGCTTCTGCTTGTACCACCAGGTCTCCCCCAGGCTTCAGGGAGAGCTTCAAGGATTCTTTTTATTTTTTTTTCCCTTTGCAGAAAAGAAGAACGTGCACTACATCAGTATCAACCTTCACAGGCATTAACCACCATTTTCATTTTCTTTTTCTGAATATTTAATTAGAACTAGCCACAAATTACCAGTAAAATCCAATAAAGCCTCCAATTTGCATCTGTTTTCTGCTGGGAACTCCCTTTACTGTTTGCACTAACCTGTGTGTATCTCCCGTTGCATTTATAATTGTGCTGCCTCTGCCTTCTCCCCCCCCCCCCCCCCCCCCCCCAGATGCCTGAGAGATGTACTTAATTATCATTGATTCCTTGTCTCCAAGGCCTGGGAATGGAGACCAGGGCTAAGGTGTAAACTATGTTATAAAAGCAAAGTTGTTTCATATCCAATTTGGCTAATAAATTGGCTTTAGAGCTTCATGACACTTGGGAGTGAGTAGCTTGCAATTCGCTGATGTTGGCCAAGGTTGAAGTTTCACTTTTGTTAAGTTTTTGTCCTTTGGCAAATGCTTAAATACCACCCTCCAGATCAAGGGAATTCCACCCTCGCCCCTCAGCCTTATGAAGTTCTTGGAGGACTTGAAAGATACATTGTAAGAGTACGGTTTGGAGGTGAGAGGTGAAATAGAAGAGCCTCAGATTTGAAAAGTGGAGAGATTGTGCCATTAACTTCAGTTTGCCTAGAGGAAAGAAAAAAAAAAAAAGATCAGTGCCCTTGATTGCATTGAGGTAGCGGAGAAATTCCGAGGTGAATACTACCTCAAAGACAAGCATACTTAGCGGTTCTAAAGCCGAAAACAAAGTGTAGAGAACCGTAACCTCGTACTGTGAACTGACTAACCTTCTTCTATACCAACACGAGAGAGTTTTGCCACGATTGCTTTCAGAATCTCTAGTAAAACTGGGGTCTCCCTCCCACTTTCTAATTCAGATCTGAAGGGCTGTGTTGATGTAGAACACTGTTACTGTTCAGTGCTGTGAAGGTTGCTCTAACTTGGAATGACCCTGTCCTCACATTCTCTTCTGTGTTCAAACCAGTTGTTACAGCTATTATGTCAACACATCTCCTTGAAAGTCTGCCTTTATTTCACTGACCCTCTACTTTGGCAAGCACGATATCTTCCTCCTTGAGCTGACACTCCCTGATAAGATGCTCAAAACATGTGAAATGAAGTCCCCCCGCCCCCCATCTTTGCTTCTAAGGAGCGTTATGGCTGTAGTATCATTGGTTTTTGTTGTCGTTGTGTACCAGTGGGTCGGAAATGACCCACAGCTGACCCTCCAGCGGGTTTTCACAGTCAGTTGATCTCACTGGAGGAGTTTTTCCATCCTCCTCTTGTGGAGCAGCTGGTGAATTTGAACCCCAGGCCTTCGGGATTGCAGTGCAGCTTCTTGCCCCTAGGCCACCAGTGGGACACAATAGGTTCTCTCAACCATCACGTATTCTCATTCTTTAGGGATGGAGCATACCATCCTGTCCTGATGCCATTGAGATTTGAGAACAACCTGAGATCCTGAATAGTGGCCAATCCTGTTAGAGAGCTGGGTGACAAAAATCACTGTTCTTTGAAACAATGGTAGGGCTCGGGGTCGTTGTATAGAGTAGGAGATGAGAGCGTAGTACCAGGATTCTTAAAGGAAGCTATGCTAGTGAGAGGGAAATTCTGTGCCCCCCCCTTTTTCCCCTCTTTGAAACAGTCATGATTTTCTGTGGCTTTTTGCAGTGGATCTCTTGAGTCTGTCTGCTGCATGCGATGCCTTGGACCAGCACCACCTCAAGCCAAATGACCAGCCCATGGACATCCTGCAGATCATTAATTGTTTGACCACGATTTATGATCGCCTGGAGCAAGAGCACAACAATCTGGTCAACGTCCCTCTCTGTGTGGACATGTGTCTCAACTGGCTGCTGAATGTTTATGACACGTACGTATGGCACGTTCTTGTCGGGAACCAGGAGACAAGGCTGAGCCCGCAGACAGCATGGTGATGGCGCACTTAATATTGCACCAGGGCCCAGTGTCTAGAGAAAGAGAATGAGTTGTCAGCATGAAAGTTTCATGAAGCTGTGTGACCTAATGCTGTCCTTGTGATAAATCATTTGTGAGTTCCTAGAGTCGAAACGTATCTCCGTAAGAGAGGAGTAAGAGACAGTGAGTGTAGATTGCACTCAGATTAGAAAGCCAACACACACAGGAAAAAAAGCCCACGATCTTAATTTGTCAAGTAGGAGGCTTAATCAGTGTGCAGTCGTCGGTCCTGTCTCTCTCTCTCACCTGCGTACTCTGGCGATGCTGGAATACCTGTCACCCGATCAGAGTCGTGGCTCAGCTCGTTCTCCAGAGGCTTTTGCAATCGACTAGGAACTGATAAGCCAGACAAAACAAACCAACCCCCCCAAAAATGAAGCAACTCGAGCTGCTCCAACAGAAGACATTTCTTCTTTAATAAAGTTTTACAGAGTTTCTGTTTGGCACTTCCATTCATCACTCTCAGAGAGTAATTGGAGTTGTTCCCTCCCCCACTTTGGATTGCATGTAGAGGAGATCCCCAATTCTCATTTTTGTTCTCGGCTTAATGAAGACAATTGATGGTAGCAGAAGGAATTGGTCCTGATTTTGATGGAATTATTTGTAGACCTCAAAATTATTACATGCCTCATTTCACACATCAAACAAGAACATCTCCCCAGTTGGAAAGCTAGGGAGATTTTCTGAGATGGGTTGCATACCAACAGCTTTTCCTTTCACCTATAACTGTATACTTTTTTGGTTGTTGTTGATTGCCATCGAGTCAAGCATGACTCATAGCGACCTTATGAACAAAAGGCCTGCAGCCTTTCTAGAACTATCATCATTTATCAAAGTTCATAGAGTTTCCAGAGAGAGGCATGTGGTTTAGGAAGTAGATGCCACTCCTGCTTCTAAGTATACTTCTACTACCTCCTTAATAAAAATGTAAACCTCTTTTTTCCTTTGTTATTTTGATAAGGTTTTGGTTGCAAAATTCCAGAACCACCTGGCTATAGAATCAGTGTTAATTATCTACCAAGCCGTTGAATGTGTTCAATTTTAATTATGGATTACATTTACATTTGCTTTGAGAGGGGTCATATTCAGGTCTTTCCTCAAACATATCTTGGCACCGTTTGCTAACAGATGACATATGAATGGATTCTGAACATTTAACTTCCATTCTCCCTACATGAAAAATTTTTGAGAGCATGTTTAACTCTTTGAAGATCTGAGTTAGTTACAGTTAAAAAAAATTGATTTGTTAGACTTTGATTTACCTTTTTTTTTAAAAAAAAAAACCTTCCAATGATTATGATTTTGCTAACAGCTTAGCATCAGGGAATCACTGATGTTTGATAGTTAGAGTTAATGAATTGTACCAGATCACAGATGCGCATACTGGCTCTTCACAAGAGATAGCAACAACAAAGTCCTATCTGTTGTTGTGATATTTTTTTAAGTGCTAGGTGGTAGATTTTGTCTAGATCTCTTTTGACCAACATTTGAGGTCTGGCTGCTGCTTGTAACAAAATTAAGAAGCTGGTCTTGATGGAAAGATTGTTCATTAAATACAGAGTGGACACTTTCCCATGCTGATTTTGCAATTTCTCCCCATGGACAAAATGAGCTTGCTAATAAATTCAGCAAGTGGAACGCTCTCCCTTCAGCTCTCTAGGTGAAAAGTGAAGATACACATCTTATGAAAACATTGATGTGTTGCTATAGGTGATCTGCAAGTTCCTCTTTATTTATAGCATACATCTGAATGCTCTCTAATAGAAAGGATCGTTTTTCTTACAGCGATAAGCATGCATTTTTCTATAATGTGTCATGTGTCCTGTGGTGATTCATTTTCTTCTCTGTAATGGCCAGTCTGAGGGAAATGTGAGAAAGTATCGAAGGGAGCAGAGCAGTCAGTTCTTGGTGGCTTTTTTGGCTTCAGTAACCAAAGTAGGTCATTTGCTTCACTAACCAAAATAGCTTAGTGCATAGTAGTAATTCTTCCACTTACTGACTTAAATCCAGGTGACTCTCCGTAGATGAAAAGGAGGATAATTTTCCCCATTTTATGTAGAGCTGCTCTTGCACTTCAAGGAAGGGCTTTTAGGAATGGAAAACGTGGTATATATTCATGGTTTCATTGGTCACATTTCCATTGCGTTCTAGGTCAGCAGCCAGGTAGATAATATACGCAGAAAAGTTCCCAACAGTCTAAAGAACTTTCCATAACCAAGTTTGGGTTGGTTTTTTATATTTCTTTTTTTCGGGTTTTTCCTTCCCTTAACTACGAATTATTTATCCCCTAGTAAAGTTTCAGTAATTGTTTTCTGGTTTGATTATTCCTAACAGGGGGCGAACAGGGAGGATCCGTGTCCTGTCTTTTAAAACCGGCATCATTTCTCTGTGTAAAGCACATTTGGAGGACAAGTACAGATGTAAGTCATGTATATTAACTCGGTATTCTTTTATTAATGGTGGCTAATTACCCCAGTGCTCGATGGGAAGTGACAGAGTGTTCCAGTTTGACAGCAGGGTCCTCATGCAAAGATGTAGAACTGCTTCCAGAGTGTCATAAAATTTGGTGTGTGTCGTTCCTTGTCATACATTAACGTGCAGGTATTTAAATAGAGAACGGGGATTAACTTCTCCCGTCCGAGTATTATTTCACATTGCATTGACTGGGGCTGAATCAAACGCATGTTCCTAGGGGGTAAAGTCTGATTTCCTAACCCCTTTGTATAAAGCAGAAAAAATAAATGGGAGAGTTTAATCCGCACTCTTGCCTCCTCTTTGGAGCCTTATTGATAGACTCCTAGCTGGCATTCATGCCCAAGACACATTGTTTATTTTATAATCATCTTACTGTAAGTGGTACTGCCACATCGGCTTCTGTGAAGAGACGAACACTGTTTGAGAGGCGGATAGCTTGCCATTTCTTAAAGGGTAAATACCATCTTATAGACTTTCATTTTGATTAGCCATTGGGTTTTCCTGCTTAAAAAGGGTAAAGCCAAATGAAAAGCAAATGCTAAAGGGGTGATGGTCCCTAAGTCTAAGCCGCTGTCCATTGCTATTGTGAAGGACTTCGCTTGTTTTCCCCCTTCTAAATATTTGTGAGAAATCTTTTCTGAGCAAACTCAGCCTGCCTTGCTTTTTCCCTTCCCCCCCCCGCCCCCACTAAGGCCTAGCTGTACAGGAATGAGCAGATGGGCTGGGTTGAAAGATTTAAAGGAGACAAAGGAGGTGGAATTCCTCTAAAACTCTGTCTTCCTGCCCCTCCAGAAGTCAGCTGCAGCGTACGTGGGCTCTTTTCGCTCAGGCTTTCTTGTCTTTTCCACTTGAGTTTTCCGGCTCTGAGAACCAAAGGAAAAGAATGGAGGAGCTTTTTCAAGAACTCTTTTAAAATGTATTTTAGAGAAAACAGAGTGAGCCAGTGCTCTTTTTTGCTCCTCCGCCTCGCTCTTTCCCATTCTGTTCCTCTCCATTGCTTTTTGTTCCTTTGAATTTTTGTGGGCTCACAATATTGTGGTGGTGCTGTGCTGTGCTGTGCAGCCGACTGTTACTCACAGCAGCACTCCAAGCAACAGCTTTTAAACTTGCCCTGTTGCGGACCTTCCCCACAATATGCTTAAGCCCACTGGAGTAGTCACTGTGTTGCAGTATCTTGTTGAGGGTCCTGTTCCTTCCTCTGACCCCCCCCCACCTTTCCCAGCACGAGGTCCTCTTGCAAAGACTCACCCCTCCTCACAGCACACCCGAAGGACGTGAGATAAAGTTTCACCAGCCTTGTACCCTGGTTGCACTTCAAGACAGTTCTTTTATCAGCCCGTAGGATACTCGGTATTCTCCTCATAACTTAGTTTATAATCTAACCTAATCAATGGTATAAACATAATACTAAAGTGAATGGGCAAGGGAGCTACTGTTTGTCTTTCAGGCAACTACCCAGATAAAGAAATGCATGTTTTGTCATTTGAGGGGGAAAAATATTAGCTCCAAACTGGTACACTGGAACGTACTCATTTATACTTTGAAAAGTCTATGTTGAAAACATGATTTAAAAGCTATGTCGGTGTCAGTGATCTCAATTTTGTTATTACCTTAAAAATACCATTAAAATTTTTTAAGTTGTTAGTGTTTAAAGTGTGCACGTGGCTGGGTAAAGCTTGCTCAGGTTGACTTTTGGAGGGAGACCTAAAATACAAGGTTTGGCAAAAAGGATTTTATTTCTGAGAGCACAACACATATGACTGGTGTTTGGTAGATTCATTCATTCTTTCAGCAACATGCCTGGGCATCAGTATCCACCGGATTCTATTCTTCGAAATACTTAAGTCACTGTGGATACACAGTTCATCAGAAACATTGCCTGTCAGTGATAGCGCCATGTGCTAGATCAAATTACACATATGTACAGCAAGAAGGAGTCCCAATTTTAGTATTTTTTCAAATAGTTGATGTCCAAAGAGGACAGGCTTTAGACCAGTTTTCTGGTTCTTAATGTGAAAACGTGATTGAGTGTAGTTATATCCTGTTTTGTTGTTTTTGTGTTTGGTTTTTTTAAAAAACAAATTTTCCCAAAGGAATGTGTTCTGTCTTATAAAACCTGGTGTCGACATTATGTGCAGGCTAACATTTTGAGCCGAGCTGCAGTTTATTTACAAATTGTCAGGCTTCATATGGGCAATGATGATTAACATGGGCCATGAAAATAATGTCCAGATTAGCATAAATTAGAACTGAGTGACCCCCTCTCTGTTGAAACGGAAATGACATTGGCTCTGATGTAAGTTCGGTGTAATCACCTTGGATCCACCTGGTACCACATTTTGACTTCTGTGGCTTTTTCTTCTCCCCTTGGTAGACCTTTTCAAGCAAGTGGCAAGCTCCACAGGATTTTGTGACCAGCGCAGGCTGGGCCTCCTCCTGCACGACTCTATCCAAATCCCAAGACAGTTGGGTGAAGTGGCATCCTTTGGAGGAAGTAACATTGAGCCAAGTGTCAGAAGCTGCTTCCAATTTGTAAGTTATTCAGCCTCTACAATATATTTATTGTTTTGTGTTTTGTTGTTATGTACCATTGAGTTAGAACAGACTCAGAGCTGACCCCCCCAGTGAGGTTTCAGAGGCTTTAAATCGCATGTAGATTGTCTGTCTTCTCCCACAGAGCAGCTGGTGGATTCCAGCTACCTGCCGTGCCAACTGTTTACCCCTCGGCTGCCAGAGCTCCCTTTTGCATTTTACAAGTCAATAATAAAAAACCCCGTAGACCTTCAGTTTCTCACGCAAGCTCTTCAGAAAGCAGGCAGGCCAGGACCTGTGAAGATTTGAATTTGTGGAAGCAGTGGCTTCTGGGAAATGCTTTCTGCAGGGTTAGTGTGAGGGGCTGGGAGGGTTGGAGTCTACAGTGGTTCCAAAAATAAGTCTCCAGCCACAGCAATCCTTTGTCAGTAGGAAAGGAATCTTTGAGGGGTGATCTCTCTGGGGTTCTGGTTCCCTCAAACTCTCATCATTATAGGAGCCCTACTGGCATAAAAGGAAGTTCTGGTGGCACAGTTCAGAGAGAGTAGCGCTGCTAACTGAAAGGCCGCACCGCTCAAGAGGTTCAAATCCATCAGGACTCGGTGGGAGAACAGTGACTGGCCTGCTTTTGTGTAGTTCGCAGCCTCCAAAAACCCATGGGAAGGTCAGCAGGGATAATTTGAGTGTCATAGTAAGTGTAGGCCTGAAAACGGAAAAGGCAAAGGTTTGAATCCACAGGATGCTCCATGAGACAAAAGTACGGCGTCTGCTCGGTAAAGAGGAACCTGATGTGGCAGTTTGACCCTGTTGTCTGGGGTTACTACGGGTCATATTGGGCTGGGCAGCAATGCAGTCTTGGTTTTGCTAGTGCAGTAGTTAAAGCATTGAACGTTGGCTGTTGAAACCCATCAGCTGCTCTCCAAGGGAATGATGTTGCAGTCGGCTCCATAACATAACATAACATAACATAACATAACATAACATAACATAACATAACACCACATAACACCTCGGGGACACTGAGGGCCAGTTCTCCTCTGTCCTGTAAGGTCACTGTACATATTCACCCGGACTGGATGGCAGATGTCTTTGACTTGAGGTCTATGATTAGAACCTTTATGATGGCTCTTGGTAAAAAGCTAATAATGATGTTGTGTACCGTCGAGTCAGAACCGACACACATAGCTGACCCTCTGGTGGGTTTTCAGAGGCAGTTAAGTGCACGGGAGGAGATTGCCCATCCTTCTCCTGCAGAACCTCGAGCCGTGTGCCTTTGGGATTGCAGTGCCGCTTCTTACCACTAAGCCACCAGAGCTCCCTAAAAGGCTATTATAGCTTTCACTTTCAAAACATTTCCTTCTGGCCTTTGTAGTCTACTGCTGTCCAGCACTTCCTCTGCATGCTTTCCATCCTCTTCACTTTCTCTCCTGCTCCCTCTTTGCCACTTGCTAGGGCCCCAGACCACTGTCTTCTTCCCCAGACACCACTATACTCCACTAATGGGCATTTGGGCCCTTCCCCTTTATTATAAGCTGGCAGCTACTCCACAGGAGAGAAATGACAATCTCCTCCTGTGCACTTCCATGGCTCTGAGCACCCACTGGAGGGTCAGCTAAGAGTTGGTGCTGACTTGACGGTACCCGACAAGGTAATGCTACAATGAACATCTTTATGCAGTTAGCTCTTTTCAGTGATTGAATTTGTTCCATTGGCTAAATTCTCAAGAGGGGCATCAGCAGACTAGATGATAGAAACATCTCTGTGGACTCTCAGACACATTGCCAGATGGCTTTCTGGCAAAGGCAGCTTCCATTTGTAATACCATCAGCCTTGAAGGAGGAAGATGTTTGCACTGCAACAGGACACATCATATTCATGAGGATGTTTTTAAATGGCCACGAGCCATATTTCTAATACAGTGTTCAGTCCATTCTAATCGCACAAATGAGAGCCAAGAGTTGTAATGGAGAATGGCTTTATAGAGTCGGGTTAGACCTCACACCCAAATGTCCCCAAATGTGCATATACGATCACTAATTTTGGTCTCTTTGGGTGATTGCGGTGGGTGGTTGTTTTTATTTTATTTTTTTTACATATTTCTGCATTCATATTTCTACTTCTGAAGGTAGAAACTTTCACACAATGACTATGAATGGCCAGAGATAATCTAGGTTCATATTCCTTTTTAAAAAAAATCCAACTGAAAAGAGTTTCCAATGATTTGATGTTTTTAAAGTAATTATTGTTTTCTCTTTTATAAGTTTGGGTTGTGAAGCACATATGCCTGCACTTAATGTGCGTCTGTCTATACATACATGTGTGTGCTGTAACTTGGGTTAAGGGCATGAGTCAGAAAGCAGAGCTGCCAACAGCTGCTTCTAGTTGCTGCCATTTCCATCTCATGGAGACCCGATGTGTGTCAGAGTAGAACCGAACTCAGTTTTTCAGTGACAGATTTTTTCAAGAAGTATGTCACCAGGCGTTTCCTTCCTGAATGGATTTGAACAGCCAGCTTTTAGACGACAGCCTAGCACATTGACTGTTTGTACCACCCACTTCAGAGTAAAATGAGCCCTTTACTCTGCTGGCCTAGTGGCAAGAAGCTGTACTGCAATCCTGAAGGCATGTGGTTCAAGGCCACCAGCTGCTCCGTGGGATGGGCCTTCTCCTGTATGATTAACTGCCTCTGAAAACCAGCTGGAGGATCAGCTATGGGTCGGTTTTGACTCTATGGTACACAACAACAATCAGTAGCAACAAGGTCGTCTGGAGCCATTCCACCCCATCACCCTACTTTGCTAAGTGTGCTGCTGCCCAAATCGTCAGGCCGCCATCTCCGCCATCACCCTCACAGCCGACTCTGCCTGTCTTAGAGTTGACCCTCAGGACCATGGCCTGGGGAACAGAAGCTCTGCTTTCCTTGATTTTATCCTTCCACCCCATCCCTCTCTACCTTTTGGATGGTACTTACGTTTGCTGGCCTCACGTCTCTCGTTTGCTTACTTCTCTGTGTCCATATCAAAACTTTCAATTCAACCTATTCTTGCATAGTTATGACCCAGGCTGGCCAACCTTCAGGCTCCTGGCAATGTCTTCTGTGAGGTTGGGGCCAATTCAGTCAGGATAAGAAAACTAGTAACAGGTGAGTTTTGCAGGTGGCTTTTAGGTTTGTTTGGGATGGTTGTGGTGGTTTTTGTTTGGGTTTTTTTTTTTTCTTTCTCTCTACTATTGTATATTTTTTCAGTTTTGTCTCTGAACCTGTTTTAAACTTTTTTTAAAAAGGAAGAGGAAATATCTGTGGTTCACTTTCTTTTCATTGGCTTTCTTAAATTGTTCTTGGACGTTATCACACATGTTAATTATTGCACTGTTCTCCACATTACATTCTATGGCTGGTATTACTGTTTTTAGTAAAATAGACTGTATGCCTTAGCAATCCGTTTCTTCCCATTGTCCAAAGAATGAAACTCTCATTTCTTTCTTTAACCCTTAGACATTTGCTAATCTGCTTCCCTAACCTCCCCTAGGTCCCTTTCACTTCTATGAAGCAGCTTCCCCTGCTAATTTGTACTTAACCATGCTTGGATTTAATATTATCACTCTTCACAGCAAAAACATTTTACCACCCCTCTGTTCACGTGACTTCTCTCACTTGCTTTTTACCAACGCTTTGAGAGTTAGCCTTTGGGTGTTTCATTTTTAGCATTATTTTGCAGGATGAAGAATTTATGCTGTGTCCCTGAAGCCCCTCAGCTGGGGGAATAGTTAGATTCCTCGATCTATCTGCCCCCATCCTTTACTACCGCACTCCCAGATCTGTTCCCCCCCCCCCCGAGTCCTCTCAGTGTGAAATAGCAGGCATTTCCCCGGATCCTGGTGGATTGAGAGACAGATGTCAGCACAAAGCCAGGAGCAGAGGACAGCCAGCCAGAGTTGGGGAGGAGTTTAAGAAACTGGGTTTTAAGGTATTAGCAGACTTCCTCGTAGAAGATTCTAGGAGATGCTGTGTGCTTTCTGTATGCACAGAGTTAGACGCAGTGGGTATTATTTAGGTTTAGGGAGCCTTTCACCTCTGTAGCAATTTGCAGTCAGGCTGAACAGATCCACTGTGAATGCCTCCTTCAGAATCGCCGTCTTGGCGTGCTTTTTCTCAGCCAGGTGCTCTGGCAGTCACCTTGCCGTTCACTGTGCAGCCTGCGTGAAGATGCGATGTTTGCTGGAGGGAGAGATAACCAGAGGGAACGTTCCCTCTGCCCTTTGTTTGAAGTGTAAGACCTTGTGAAGGGTGCCAGGCCCCTTCCTTCTGCAAGCTGGTGCTCAAAGGCAAGGCTGCTACTTCTGCCTCTCCCACAAGTGCAGTCCTGGCATCAGAGAAGGAGACAGTGCCGTCCGTCTGCAGCCCTTTTCATTTTGTTTTCCTGTCACCAACTGTAAAACTTACTCTTTGTCAAGTCAGTACAGTTGGGCCTGGTGGTGGCAGGAAGTGAGATGTTTTTGCCTGTGCAGTGCTCTCTGGCTGACGTTTTCAAAGTTGCCTTGGCTAGAGTCGCTTTTCCTCACTAACCACTTAAAAAGGAAATCACCTGTCAACTAACTTCCAAGGTTCCCCCCCACCCCCTGCTTAAAAAGCAGTGGAGGTACTTAGAGGAATTATCTACTTAGTTAGGAAATGAAGTCATCTCTCTGGATATGAAAAAGAAAAATTTCTCTTCAGTGTGTGGATGCGACAGTGACGTCTTCACAGACGCTAAGTGAAGCTAAGGGTCTTCGGTAGCACATTGCCATCAGTGTGTGGTTGTTCTATACCGTGCTGTTAGAACTGACTCCCAACTGACTCTCCAGTGGGTTTTCAGAGGGAGGCAGTAAACTGCACAGGAGGAGAATGCCCATCTTTGTCCTGTGGAACAGTTGGTGAATTCAAAACACACCTCTTTATTTGGGTAGCATGACACCTTACAATTAAGCCACTAGAGATCCCTGCAGTCAACGTGTTGTTGGGT